AACCTATGGTGAAAAAGAATATGAAAATGAATATATGTATGTTCCTATGTGACTGAAATATTGTGCTGTACACCAGAAATGGACACAACGTTGTAAACTGACTATACTTCAATTTAAAATTAGAAAAAATAAATAAATAAAATTTTTTTTAAAAAAGAGAGAAAGAAAACAGCAGGTAATGGAGCTGCACCTAACACAGGTTTAACTTTGCACATTCAAGGAAAAAGAGAAAGTACAATTTCAGTAGTGGCTGATTCCACTTGATATCCCACCCAGGATAAGATGGGAGATTAATTGTTCCTCCAGTCAGTCTCATTTCCCACGAGCCCCTCTTACAGGAAGAGCATCCCACAGTAGTATGTGTTATTCTCATGTTTAAAGACTCGTATTCTATATAAGCCAACTACTTCGTTTGGTGTGCAGTTGAAGAAATAGTGATTCATTCTGATGCTGGCAGAAAAAAAGATGATACATGTTAGATTTGTTAAGAGGTAGTTTGTTGATCTCAAATGAGACCTCTCTTCCAAAGAGAGTTTAAGAGTAATTTGAACTAATTTTGATTTCTGCTTGATAGGTTGCCAGTTAATTTACATTTTGACTTTAATAGCAAATTCCTATTACCCAATCAAAAAATGGGCAGAAGGAGGGGAGGGTATAGCTCAGTGGTAGAGTGCGTGCTTAGCATGCACAAGGACCTGGGTTCAATCCCCAGTACCTTCACTTAAAAATAAATAAACAAATAGCAAACCTAATTACCTACTCTCCGCCCCCCCCAAATGGGCAGAAGACCTAAACAGACATTCTTCCACAAAAGGCATATAGATGGCCCATAGGCACTTGAAAAGATGCTCAATATCACTAATTATCAGAAAAATACAAGTCAAAACTACAGTGAGCTATCACCTCACACTGGTCAAAATGGCCAGCATTAAAAAGTCCATAAACAATAAATGCTGAAGGGGCTATGGAGACCAGGGAACCCTTCTATACTCTTGGTGGGAATGTAATTTGGTGCAGCCACTATGGAAAACAGTATGGAGATTCCTTTAAAAACTGGAAATAGAGTTACCATATAATCCGGCAGTTCCAGTCCTGGGCATATATCTGGAGAAAACTCTCAATTCAAAAAGATACATTCACCCCAGTGTTCATAGCAGCACTATTTCCAATAGCCAAAACATGGAAGCAACCTAAATGTTCATCGACAGACGATTGAATAAAGAAGTTGTGGTATATATACATATATGTAAGTACACATATATATTGGAATACTACTCAGTCATAAAACAGAATAAAACAATGCAATTTGCAGCAACATGGATGCACCTGAAGATTATCATACTAAGTGAAGTCAGTCAGACAAATATATATCACTTATATGTGGGATCTTCAAAAAAGACAGGAATGAACTTATTTACAAAACAGAAACAGACTCACAGACATAGAAAACAAACTTACGGTTATCAAAGGGGGAAGGCAGGGGATAAGGATAAATCAGGAGTTTGGGATTAGCAGATGCAGACTGCTATATATAAAATGGATAAACAACAAGGTCCCTACTATATAGCACAGGGAATTATATTCATTGGTTTACAGTAACCTGTAATGAAAAAGAATATATATGTGTAATAATTGCTATGCTGTGCACCAGAAACATTATAAATCAACGATACTTCAATTGAAAAAAAAGCAAATTGCTGTTAAAGTCCAGGTTCTAAATATCTTATGGTCATTCTTCTACAGTTTAGCACTAATAATCCATACTGAATAACAGTCAATGAGTCATCCATTTTAATATTTCTTTAGGTAGATAGGCATATAGTGAATGCAAAGATTATCAATATTCCTAAGTAAAAATAACAATACCCATCATAGTTAATGTTTATTTAGCCCTTAATATAATACCAGACACTGTACTAGGATGTGTTTTACATCCACCATTTTTAATCCTCAACAGCCCTATGAGGTGGGTCCTGTTACCTTGCTGTTAAAACTCAGTCAGCAACTTCCTTAGAGATAACCAAGAGAACATACACACACTGTCCATGTAAATGTTTCCTAAAACACAGTTACTCCCAGGAAAGCAGCCAAGAATCATTGCAGAAGCAGATCAGCAACTGCAAGTTACCATGCAGGCTCTAGACAAGCTGTGTTTTAAAAGTTCTCGTAATTTAGGAGTGGGTTGTCCAGAAATTGGAATGTATTTTCCCAAAGAAATGATGTTATCACAACAAAAGCATATTTACCCATGATGTGCCTAAAGTGTAATAGCATAAACCCAAACCATTTCGTGTACCAGTGCTTCCATGGAAAAATTTACTCTGAGTTGCCCCTTGGATGGCTGTGGACACATTTCTCTACCACCAGGGAAAAGGGGACCTTGTGGGAGAAAACAGTAGACTCATTCAAATGTTCAAAGTCGGAATCAGCGGTGGTTCCCAAGTCCTGTGATGGAAGTTGATGGAGGAAGGAGGATGGAAGAGTGAGTGGAACTGGGTACGAAGGTGACATGGGGTCAGGAGCTCTTGGGTGAGGAAAGCCTGTAAAGGTGAAGTGCGGGATAGGAATTCCAGGGAGGAGAGGAGGAGAGGAGAAAGAGAAGTCACTGGCTCTGAACCCCCAGGGGCTCTTCTCATCCCCGGAGCAGCTCCCTGTTCGCTGTCTTTGTTTGTCTTCTGCTGCTTCCAAAATTTTGCCTGCCTGCTTCCCTTTTTACTGCTAACACTGAGGGCTTCCCCTGTGATACTGAGACCAGCCACAGGACTTTTCTTAACTCGGCAGCTCCTAATATAAGCCAATGGAATGGCCCTTTGGGTTTTTAACTTCTATAAAGGAAAGAGCCTATCCTAAGCCCTCCAGAACTTACCCTTTTTCACTTGGACCTGGAAGAGCAAATATCAGCCTACAGATGCTTTGAATGGTTTTTTGAGTCCATAAGGGGCTGAAATAAGCATTGCAGGTGTAGCTCTCCAAGGCTGAGGCTTGGGAAAAGGGAACAGCCCTCTGCTCCTTTCTCTAGTTTTTGCTTCTATGGTTCCTCCATCCTCAAAACAAAAGTGGAAAGGAGTGGGTAGGGCCCAGAGCACAGCTTGCTAGAGGGGAAGGGCTGGAAGACAGTGTGGTCCTCGCACCACTGCTAAGGTGTGTTCTCAAGTAGCTCGTCTCCATCAGCAGTGTAGGGACCACCTGGGCACCTAAGCGTCTACCGGACTCCCCAAGTGCTCCTCATACCGCCTTCCTCTGTACCCACCAGTCAGTGTTTCCCTGATTTCTCTGGTGATACGAATTACCTGGGTGGTGCTTTAAAAAGCCTAAGTTTTCAAGCCCTATCTCAGAACTGAATCAGAATCTCCAAGGGAAGGACCTGGAAAATTGTGTAATTAACAAGTGACCCCAGGCGATTCCTGTCAAGGACATTTGGCAAACACCGCTTGACACCTCCCCCCCAAATGGCCCCACACCTCCCCACCCCCGCCACGCACACACTTTGCTGGTCTTTAGAGGCTCCTAGGACAGTCTAAGCCCCTTTCTGCCTCAGAATCATTATGTATGCCATTTCGCCTCTGTGAAAAGCTTTTCTGTTGTTCCCTACTCTTGGCTAATGTCTGCTTCTCCTAACTTCATGACTTGGCTGAAATATGATTTCTTCAGAAAGACTTTGACCACTCTGCTCACTATCTAAGTCAGGTTCCCTGTGTCACTCTCATAATAACACTTTGTGCTTTTTCTCCTTAGAATTTATCACACAGTTTGTATCTAACATTTTTGCCTAATGTCTACCTCCTCACTAGTACTGAGCTCAAGGAATGCTTAATGAGTAATTTTTGCTTGAGCGAATTAATGGGAGAACAGTGTTGGCAGATGAGTACTAATGGGTTGGATGCTGATCAGCAAATAAACAACTGAGTACGTGAGAACTTTAATCTCCCAGGTAGAACTTTCACGTGTCAACTAAAATCAAGGAGATCTCGGGCCCAACAAGGAAGTGTATTTATGGGGCATTGGGTCAGATTACTTCAAAAATGTTTATTAAATACCTAATGTGGACAAAATGCAGAATTAGGAGCCATAGATACAGCAGTGAATAAGACTGAAGCCATATCCGAGCATGGAGCTGACATTCTAGCAAGGAGGACAGCTGTTAAGCAACCACTTACACAGTCTTAGAATTACAGTTTTGGTAAATGCAATGGAAGAGTTACAGAGCTGTAAGAGCCTGTAACAGGGGGACCTGGCGGGGTCTGTAGGGCTTCAGGCTGGTCACAGAATGTCTAGGACGTGTGGCTGGGGAGCCTGTGCCCAAAGAATCGCATGTACTCTGTCCTGTCCCCTGCCCAAGTTGGCATGGGGGAGGGTGCCTCTATGTAATAGTTTCTCAGCCCTGACACTGTTGACGTCTTGGGCTGGAATATTCTCTGTCTGGGGCACTTTGCAGGGCACTGTAGGAAAGGCTTAGCACCATTCCTGACCTCTGTCCACTGGATGCCAGTAGACCTCACCATTGTGAGAATCACAAATGTCTCAATGTCACCAAATGCCCCCTGTGGGAGAATGGAGGGAGGTAGGGGGTGAGATCTGTCCCTCCCCCCTCCCCTAGTTGAGAACCACTGTTCTACATGAAACTTGGTTTTTTGAAAGTGTCTTTACTTATGATTTATCCAAGTCAATACCAGGAGCTTAATTTATTCATTCAAGAAACAAATGTTTGTTGAGTGCCTATGAGGTACCAAGTGCTGTTCTAGGCACTGGGGACATGGTGGTGACCAAAGCCCGTGCTTTCTTGAAACCACATTCCAGGCGGGGAGACAGACAATAAATTTTAAAATAAGTAACATTTCAGAAGAAGGGGATGGGTTGGTCATAGAACTCCTTTCTGATCGGATGACATTTGAACTTGGAAGAAGTCTTGAGAGAGGCAAGGGAATGAGTGGCAACACCAAGAGCCAGAGCCAGAGCCACCAGAGGGCCTGGCCAGACCTAACTGACTGCTTGTGTTTCAGAGGGTCCTCCGCAGAAGGGCAGCTGAATGGACTACAGAGCAGCCTGAACTCTGCGGCCTTCGTGCCCATCACCAGCTCCGCAGGTTAGTGCCGGGGGCAGTGGGAGGGGCTGGGCCGGCACGGTCACTCTTCTGTCTCTGAAGAGAGCGCCAGCTCAGGGAACGAAGCATCCAGGCTTCTGAACGTTGGCAAACGGGCGTTTTGTTACTTTCTGCTTTCCAATGACATCGACATTTTAGGATTAAAGGCTTTTCCGGAACTAGTTTGGGTGGATGAAGTTTCCAGTCTGGTAGAATGCTACCAGGTTTGCAGCACTTAGTGAAAATGCCTGTATTTGACTGGTGTTTTACCCCATGTAGCGTCTCTCACTGCATCCTCACCACAGCCCTGGGAGGTGTAATTTGTCCTCTCCACGTGAGGACGCAGGGGCTCAGAATGTCAAGGGGTCTGTGGGCGATTGTACACGGACGCAGAGCTGGAGCTGTCGTCTCTGATCTGCATCCTCTCAGGCCAATGTCATGTCTTCTGCCGGGTGGTTGCTGAGGGCCTCAAGCCTCGCAACGTAGGTACCTACCTGTGCATAAATCAGGCGACATTGGTCCACGGATCGTTCTCTCTGAGTAATAATTTATAAAAATACACTCATAAGTTAATCAGAAAGTTGAAAGTAAATCACTTGGATTCAATTCAACAAATGTTTATTTTTGAGCACCTCCTGGAGAAAAGTAACACGCGGGGCACTGAGGTACATACAGGGTGAGCTGGGCGGTCCCTGCTGTCCGGGGACTTAGCTCAGGGAGAGAGGTCAGCAGGGAGCCTGCTGTGGGGGAAAACATCAAGTGCTGGGGACACACAGGACAACAGTAGACAGCACTGGCGGAGAGTTTGCTACGTGTCAGGCTCGGTTCTGAATGCTTTACACGTCATCACTCATTTGTTCACAAAACAGACGTGTAAAATAGCAACTGTGCTCCCCGTTTTACAGCTGAAGAAATAAAGGCACAGATTATGAAAGGTATCTAAAAACCTCTCAGCTAGAAAATGGTGGAGCAGTATTTGAACCCAAGCAACCTGGCCCAGGCTCTTTAGGGACTCAGGAGGGCTTCCTGGAGGAAGAAACATCTAAGCTGGGGTTTGACAGTTGACAGGTCAGCCCAGAGAGGGGAGGCATGGGATGGAAGGAGTTCCAGAAAGAGGGAACAATGTGTGCAAAGGCCGGCTGGGAGGTGTTAAAGGTGCTGTGTTCTGGGAGCCCTCACGTGTCGCTGTGGCTGGGGATGGGGGCATGAGCGGGGCCCGGCCAGAGAAGAGGCGGTAGAGGTAGCAGAGCTGGTTTCTGAGCCCTGGAGGGAATTTGGTCCTGAGAGCAGTAGGGAGCCATTGAAGAGTTGAGTCCTGGGGTGTGAGGGTGTGTGTGTGTGACATAATACTCCTTAAAGCGATTACAGGATTGCTGAGAAGGCGGGTTGGTTTGACTGTATCATGGGGATAATTACATGGACCTCATAGGCTGACCGTGAGGATTAAGGGAGGCAGTATGTGCAGAAAGGCTCTAAAGCTACATGCAGGCCAGGTAGTAACGTAAGAGTGTAATGATTTTGTTCTCTGCTTAAAATCTTTGCACCTGAATTGAAGAAATACTTGATGGGTATATAACATCTTCCCCTCACCCCCACCCCGGCAAAAAAACAAAAACAAAAAAGAATTATTCAAACATGGTAGTTATTTATAAGGAAGTGAAACTTCCACCTGGAACTCTTAGACTGAGAAGTGGATAGCTCAGAGAATCGCGAACCAGTTGGCAGGGTTCCCATGAGATACAGTTGTTAGAGCCTCTGCAGCCCTTCGCATCTGCTGAGGCCGGAAAGGTTTACAAAGCTCTGGTGACCCAGGAAACCTGCCTATTTCATCTGCATGTCTAACTGATAAATTAAGTACAGAATTGAGTTCTTTGCTTGCACTTTGGCTGCGGAAGTTGGACTTCCAGCATCTTGATCATGAATTAATATTTACCGACTATTGACGTTACTTAGAAGTTTTTGTAACAGTTTGTACTTTATTTGGTATCAGTATAAAACCACAAAGCAAGGAGAAGTTGTACTTCTCCCTGGCTTCTAGTATCTACCTTTTCCCCCTGCTTCTCTCTTAAGTAAGTGCATTATTCTTCTCACCTTGTTTAGTAGCCTGCTATTTATTGCTTCTATCTCCAGATGCCTCTGGGCCTCAGAAGTCCTTTGAATTTGTTTCTCTTCTGTGACTTTCCTGGTGTTCCCGATTCTTAAATACTGCTGAACATGATATAGCAAAGCTCAGGCATTCTTCGTACTTCCCAATAAGCATTTTGCCTTAGCAGTATAGTAATAGCTAACCCTGTTAGAGTTCTTTATAGAGCTGGTAAATAACTATCTAGCCCTTCGGTATTTCAACTATAAATTATCTGTTTTTCTGTCTTGCATGTAGATTTAATGGCGTTATTCTAGGGGTTCAGAATGTTGTCCTATAAAAAGAAGATTAGGTTGCTAGTAAAAACATTTCTCCTTAAGCCCACAAGAAGGGAGAACAACCCCCATAAGAAATCAAAAAAATTTACACGGCTCTGAGAATTGGAAAGTGTTGCCTATGTAGGAATCCCTAAACTGGCTGTGGAAGGTATTTAGCCCCTGTCTGGTCCAGTTAACTCAGTTAGTTAAACATGGTATTATTGAGTCCATGAATATAGCAAAAGTCTGTTTCCTGGCCCATTGACCCTTCCCCAAGTCTAGCCAACCAGGCCTTAAAGCTGTGTGACTTTGTTCGTCAGTCTGAATGAGATAGTGGTTCATCCCGGGGCACTGTTGAAAAACAACTCAGAGTCCTTTCCCGCTGATGGTGGTCTGGTGACAGTCTTTTTATTATGAACGTTAAATGAGGTAGTGAATGTGAAAGCGCTTAGCAGAGTGCCTGGAATGCTCCATGAATGTTACTTTTCCTTGACTTCCCTACCTCAGGCTGTCTATTCTGTGTTTGCTATAGAAGGCAAGGTGTAGAGTCAGCAAATTGGGAAATTTGAGAAGGAAGCTGGAGTGAGGGCCTTTGGCTCAAAGCCAAAGCCACTGGCCTTCCTTCTTTATAACCATGATGTTCTTCTTGAGTTCTGAAGTGGCGATGGTGAACTAAAATAGCAGAGAGCAGCAGATTAGATAACTGGCATTTCTCTCATGCTGATTCGATGGTGTAAACTACCATTGTTGTAGGGCTGAAGCCATACCAGCTGCCCTCATCCCTGCCCCTCAGCTTCCGCCTAAGCTTTTCCTGCCCTGGAGCCCAGCCCTCTACACACAAACCCGCCTCACCTTTTTTCTTTTTTAAGCTCTTATTGGTCTATTGTTGGAGGAAGGGACCATACCACCTTTTGAACACCAGTTCTGGGTTTCATTTACAAGAATTGAGAAGCCATGACCTTGTTGAGTGTTTGTCATTTGGGACCCTGGTCAAATTCACTGTAGCTTTCAGCCCTTTGCCTGGGGACGAGGCAGTAGCATGTCTGTGTGCCTCTGCCTGCCCACTTCATTGTCTCTCGGTGAGACATCAGGAGAACGGAACTTATTTTAATATAACGTAAATCCAGTGGAGCTTAAACCCCAAGGATCTAGAAATCACTTTAACTTTCAAGTGAAATTATTTGCCTGGCAGCTCTCAGCAGAATGACCTATTTTCACTGTCAGATTCTCGTTCTTTTCATATGCGTGGTATAGTTGTTGGAGATCCTGGGTGGATTTGGAGTATAATAGATTAATAATAAAAATAAACAAAGCTCTTGAGATGCTTGCCCTAGTGTCTTATACCCTTTATTGCTCCCCAAACGTTCTCTCCCCCCAGAGCCAGAGGGATAAGAATTTGGGTTGATTGCCCACTCTTACCCTGTTAGAAAGCAAGAGTGAAAGCATGGATTTGATGTTGGCAGGAAATGGGGTGCCAGCATCTGGGAGAACAATGATCCCCTAAAACCTAGTTTTAGATTTGACCTCTTGTCTTTTCAGCTAAGATCAAATAAAGTGTTGAGTAGGGATTTTGTTTACATTTTTCAGGATCTTTGGAAGCTCCCCAAGTTATTTTCGCCAGATCCAAACCCTTGCCCACACAATCTGGAGCCCTTGCTACTGTTATAGGACAGAGAAAATCAAAGTCGGTGAAGTCAGGGCCAATTTAAGGTAACAGTAAGAATAAGAGCATATTTTCTTATTATAACTTGCTGACTTTATGCCACAGCAAGAGGCTTAATAATCATCAAGAGAAGTGATAGTTTCTCAAAATGACAAGGAAATTGGCATTTTATAAAACCAAAGCTCAGAAAGACTCTCCAAAACTGAGTCAAAGCTACCCTAGCTTGCTTCTGTATTGGCTTACCAGTAGGTGGCGCTGTGGCAGTAAGAAATTTCCTTACTGTTATGGAGGCTTTTGATAAAAAGTATGGGGACATTGAGGCCAATGAAAGAAAGAAACTAAAGCCATAATTGAGTTATCACAGGTAAAATGTAACAGGATATATTGGGAAACATGAGATTTGAAGGTTAAATTGCAATAGCACATGAAGAGAATGAATATTTATTATTAAAGATATTTATGACTAAAGAAAGCTTTTGTACTACAGTTGGGTAGTTTGTGAACTAGACTTTCAGATAATGGGAGACAGGAAGGGTACAAAATTTTTAAAAAATTTTTTGGTGAGATTGATTGATTATGCTTTTTTCTGAGTTACTTAAGGTAAACATACTGTAGTTGGCAGCAAGACAGACTATAAACCCCATCCTACCACCCATCCAAAAGTAGCTCCTATATTGAAGGAGTGGCCTGGCTTGATCTTGTGGGTCTGTACCCACACTTCACCAGTGCTGCCCCCAGTATTTTGTTCCCAGCTGTGGCATTCAGAACTTTCCAGAGAATTCTATGAAACCACAAGGTTTTGATGATTCCTTTCCTCTTTGCTCTACACTACACACTAAGGCATTAACGGCACACCTGCTATGAGCTTAATACTCTTCTTACTTCTAGGGGAATATTTATAAACTTATTTGAGAAGCATTATTCATCAAACTACCCCAGG